GATATCTTTTAACTTGCTCTGGCCTTCAAGTTTCATGTAACATCATGTTTGCGTGGTCTAAATGTAACGTTCGGTGCTACTCAATTTTACGAAACCTCCATTATTTGCTCGAATTCCGATCCACGTTTTTGGGTAAACGGTACCGCTTTTACCCCGATAATGGATCGTCTGGGTATCAATTTTATTCGGAACAAGAAGGCGGTCCTATCACAGGTGGTCTCGGAGCCGGCCTGAGATGAGAGGGATGCAACATCGTACAGGACAGAAAGCGACAAAAAGAACCTTCCCAAACGGAAACTGAACTCGCGGGTTCTGTGTGCATCGATGAAGCGCCTAACCGCTACACCATGAAAACAGCCGTCTTAGAAATGGGAAAACATTAGATATGAGGCTTCAGTAATCAACTGATAGACTCACTGGTCCAACAAAACTAAGAACTACTGAACTTCAGAGCATTTCATTTTATGAAGGCCGATCACAGTAACGAGTGTGTCAGATTTCACCTTTAGAAAAACGCTAACAGAATGTCGAGACTTTCGTGAGACTATCCCCCCAAAAATGGCCAGAAATGTTCTTTAATTGGCATTAATTAATACCACAACCCTTGGCACTTGGTAAACAATATTTCTTTTATCTGATAATATTTCTGAAAGTCGTTTGCCCTTTTCTTTGGACTATTGTCATGGCTTATTGTTGTTGTTTTTTAAACGTGTTTAAAACAGAAGTGTTTGATTTTGACCCTTTTTGCAATTTTTTTCATCTGTGTGTTTGTAGTAAACACAAAAGTTATCAAAATTGACTTTTTTTCGTTTCTATTTGACTTAAAATTGTAAATTCTGTTTGTCCCTGTAACATTCCTTACAATGTTGGAAAGCAACACATTTTCCCAAAAGCAAAAATAAAAATCAACAAAAGCCTGAGGTCAGCAATTTTAGCACATCATGATATCATTATATGGGGTATAATCGAACTATGTAAACAACATGCGAGAATATATATATACAAAAAAATGAGATAAAGAGAGAGAGAGAGAGTGGGAGAGAGAGAGAGGGGGAGAGAGAGAGAGAGAGAGAGATGTGCAAGTTGCAA